CCATCTATGTCTCGCTAACAAGGATTTTTAATACAAATGTCAAGACAGTCCTACTGTATGGAGCGGAAACTTGGCGAACTACCAAAGCCATCATCCAGAAGATACAAGTGTTTATTAACAGTTGTCTACGCAAAATACTTCGTATTCGTTGGCCAGACACCATCAGCAACAACGTATTGTGGGAGAGAACAAACCAGATTTCAGTGGATGAGGAAATCAGGAAGAAGCGGTGGAAGTGGATAGGACACACACTACGAAAAGCACCTAACTGCGTCATGAGACAAGCCCTCACATGGAACCCTCAAGGCAAAAGGAAAAGAGGAGGCCAAAGAATACATTACGCCGAGAAATAGAGAAAGATATGAGGGGAATGAACAAAGATTGGACAGAACTGGTGAGAGAAGCCCAGGACAGAGTTGGTTGGAGAAAACTGGTGAGCGGCCTATTCTCCATTGGGGGTGACAGGCGTAAGTAAGTAAGTAACAGCTCCTAACAGAGGCCTTACATTACTGTAATTCATATGAAGAAAGTACTTTACATTATTTTCGTACTAGAACAGTGCTAACAATGTATGTAACATGATATATCTATCCTCTACATTAAGCATTTCTATTTCATGTGTAAAGCTGACCATTCATGTTAACCGACAGGAATTATGTAATCAGTATAACTATTATTATTATTATTATTATTATGCATATTTTTGTAACTATGTTATTTCACTTCTGCTCTCAATTATTTTTTGTTACTTTTTTTTCTCTAAAATACAGGTCCATTATCTGAAACTGTAGGTGATTTTTGGCAAATGATTTGGGATTATCATTGTCCTATTATTGTAATGATTACAAGGTGATTTTATTGTTTGTAATTCATTTGTTCCTGTTACTTGTTTATTTTAAGTCTTTTTTTATTTAAAATAGAACAATAGAAGACTCCATACACATTTATTTACTGATTAATTCATTTTCGCCTGTCCCCCCTCCAATGAAGCATAGGCCACTGATCAACATTCTCCAGCTTACTTTTTCCTGAGCCTCTCTTTCTAGTTCTATCCAATTGTTGTTCATCCTCATGTGTCTTCGATTCTTATGGCCTTCCACTTCCGTTGACTTTGCGGGTTCCAGGTGAGGGAGTGTCTTGTGACACAGATAGAGGTGCCTTCCTCAATGTGTGTCCTATCCACTTCCAGTGCTTCTTCCTGATTTCTTCTGCTGATAGTGCCTGCGAACTCAAAGCATTTTGCGTAGACAATTGTTGATGAACACTTGTATCTTCTGGATGATGGTTTCGGTAGTTCTTTGAGTTCCCGCCGCATACAGTACAACTGTTTAAACCTTTGTATTGAAAATTCTGACTTTGGTGTCGCTTGATAGTTGCTTTGAGTTGCAGATGTTGTTCAATTGTAGCAAAGCTACGCTTGCTTTTCTGATTCGCCCCTTCATATTTGCATCAGATCCACCGTGCTCGTCATCATATACATCATTTCCTTTATATCTCCCTAAAAGAGAAAAAGACCGAAGATTTCAACAGCAAAGTGTGAATTCATCGTATTTCATCTAATTTTCATTAGCTTATGGTGAATATGGGCCCACCAGTTCTGTGGTAGTCGGTATTCGACCCTAGACTTCGTATACTGATCCTCCTGATAACCGTTACTAGATAAGAAACACCCAACGGTGAATAGTACATAAGACGAATATGAAGCGTTGTGATTGCGTTTATTATCGCACCACACACACACCGCCAAAACCACAGGCAAACGGAGAGTAAATGATATGCGAGTGCCGAACTGCAAGCAAGTGATAGAGTGAACTGAATGGGATTAAAATTTAAATATATATGCATAGGAAAATGAATGAATCGTTGAATTATTTAAGAGGCTAACATTAAAGCGAGTAGAATGAATGTACACGTAATCGGTAAGCCATGCTCAGTCATACCTACTCATAACAAACACGACAATAATAAAAACACAATTGTACAGTTAAGCTATTGCAATATGAATGACTCAGTCTGTTAAATCATATCATCAAAAGGATTTAACCATATTAAACGTGAAGGAACTCAAATGTATATGAGGTTGTACTGTTATATAAGCTCCTTTAAATCTGTATCATTACAAACTGGAACTCGCTATAATCACATGTCATTGTGGCAGTATGAGCAAGGACGCAGATAAATTTAATCGATCAAATAAATTGTTATAAATTTGTATCTGATGTTAATGAACATTCCACAATGTTGATAGTAATATAAAAATCAAAACTGTATGAAACACACGTTTTACGTCATGCATAAACATTACCATTAAGCAAGAATAAAACAAATTAAGCTCAGTTAATTCAAAAATTAAACAACAGTTAAAAAATGACACATTTACGCTGTCAATTTTACGAATTTCATTATTAATCACCAAATTGACTTAAGTTCGACAACCATTCAATATTTGGTTGGTTTGTGTCTAGCCCGAAGGTACCTTGTGTGTTAGGGGGGGATGTGAGGAGCAGCGTATGAGATTATCTGGAAGAAGAAACAACAAGAGAAAAAGATGAGCCGACGACTCTTCTAAGCACTATAAAGAAAAGATATGTTTGAATTACCATGACAGAAAGTTTTTCGAATTGTCCTCTGTAGAACACATAAATGAAGGTTTGACGCATGATAGCGATAGGTTCAACACACTTCAAAAGACCGGTAGTTGGACGTTTATGAATGAATCATCTTGAGAAATTTCAAGTTATCTATGTGATTGTCGCGCATACACCAAATGTCTAGTGATCGATGAGAACGAAACGATTTTAATTATTATTGTGTTCACTCTTCAAGATGATAAATTGAACTAAGTGTATACAAAATTCCGCAAAACAATCACTACCTGAATCAATAGTCATTCATGTCACTGAATTACTTGATAACAACAGTACATTGCGGAATAATGAAAGTGAAGTGACTAGAGTCGAGTTTTATAAGAAATGTTTGAAATTATTCTGTTTGTCGTGTCAATTTTCAAAATCCTTAATTTTTTTTTACAACACAAACAAATACAGATTTGTCATGGAATTTAGTGGCTAGCCTACAACTAATATACCATTATTATCAGTGTGATTGATAACTTTGTTATAATCTGACTGGTTGTAGAATAAAAGAGAATCACGTTTTTTTTCTCACGTGAACTAATCGAATTAATGATTATTTGTATCAGCTTTTAGAATTTTGATTTTTCCATACAAGAAGAAAAACGTGTAGTTAAAAACAGAGGCCTTTGAAAATTGTTCGTTTAGAAAAAACAAAACAACTTAACATCTTGAAAGTAGCCCTTAGATAGATTAACCATCAGTCAGTTGCAACGTAGAACTTCGTACGTATGTACATAAGTTCAGGTTGCCATACCACATTAGCACAGACACGCAAATATCAAATCAAATCCCATTATGATTGAGATAGTAGAGGTATTTATGGTTATGAAGAAGACTAGGGTTTGAAGATATTATTCAAGAAGTATAATTAAGTGAGATAAGGTTAGAAAGACAAAGGTAGAGGTGCTGACGAATCCAGAAGATTAGGATTTGAGAGAGCACAACGAATGGATGCACTTGTGCCATTGCAAACGATTTTGAGCCATGTCGTTCAAGGTCTCTAACCATTGGTGACTATCGTCTCGCGGACCCCAACCAGGTAGTCTACATCTACCAACATGACTCAGTCTACTTGTCAGTGACTTCATGAATTTGTGCCATGTTTTGTTCTGGCCTCACCTAGTTTTCTTCCAACCTACTCCTACACCACAAAACATAGTTCGACGCAGCATTCGGGGGTTAGGCATTCGTAACACATGTCCCAACCACCGCAACTGATGAAGATTAACCATCATAGGATATCCATTGCAAAATCTGATGTTAATTCATTTGTCACAATAAATAAAGCTGAAGCGTACACATTATTGAAAAGTAGTTAGTTGTTTTGTTGTACATGCTTGAGTGAAACTGTTGTCATCAGTGCCTCCTCATTAATTTTTTTGATTGCTACATAGTTCTATCAAATAATTCAAAATACATTACAAAAATGCAGTTACAACAAGCTACTTTCTTCAAATGATGGTAATTTATTTAAATATTGTTTTGCGAATTGTCTTCATTCCATTATGAAAAAGTTTGTCATGCTTCTTAGCTTCTTAGCTCTCTCACCTTTGTGAACTTGTACACATAGTCTGTAGTGAAATTCTATTGTATCAATGTAATAATTATAATTATTGAATATATTTCAATACTAATCCATGCACGTAATTAGCCTAAAAATATTTGAAGAAAATAGTATTCTTTGTCATGCATATATTCTCCTTTTAATAATTCAACTTTTTTTTCAAAAAAAAATAGATTTGAATTTTGTCACGTAATGAGTTCGGTTGTTGTTTTAAATGTATTATAGCTAACTATCTAAATTATGGTTAATAATGCATTTGTGTTGAACACTTCGCCAACCAACTTTCAACTTAAACGGCTGGATAATAAATATCATTATGGCTTACAATTACTGACATTCATTCAGAACTAGATTGTGTACCGATTTTGATCGAATGAAATTTCATTGAATCACTTTTTAATTCTATCAGCAGTCACCAATAAGTATTTGATATGTTCGTCACTAGGTGCGCTTGAAGCTATCACGAGTTCACCTTAGTCGATAAACACGAACGCGACAATTATCAGTGTCCAGATAGGCTACCTTAAATCCCAAGCTGAAGGCAAAAGGCTTTGTAAGCGTAGAAAGTTTACTCTACAAACACCCAGCAATCACAATACAATCAAGCACACAACTCTCGTTTATATATACATCATAGAAATCTCCGTGGGACAGTTACGAAGATAGCACACTAAAATACACGGCAGCCAATCGCAGACATGGATTTTCGTGGTGGGAAATAAAATCTCCAGGTCAACTGATCAGCCGATGCTCGCAAACATGAAATCCAAAATAAGGCATTTATCCAGCGAGTTTTGGGGATCTAACGTTCCCAACACTATTGAATTCAAACTTTTGTTCTTATTCACTTATTATGTGGGGTATAAGGGTGGATGTTGCTTACTGGCTGTGCCCACACAGTGGAACGATTCTGGTTGTCAGAAACTGACTCACTAAAAAACACGCCAGCATGAAAAAATTATTCAAACCATTTAAACTCTGTTCTAGGAGTTGGAAGGTCTTTATTCAGAAGAGTTATGACCCTATTCTCTCCGAATACTGCTCATAATTTGACTACTTCTATTGCTATGGGATTTGTAGTGACATTTGCATCTCTGTGCTAGAGTGGTATGGCAACTTGAACTGCTGTATGTACGTACGTACGAAGTTCTACGTTACTATCGATTGATTGATTGAATGAAGTTTTATATCGATTTCATTAGTCCATATATCATATTGTAAACGTAAACCGACAGTAAAGTCAATCTCTATTCCTGTACATCGATGTTTAAAGAACAATTTTTCTTGTTGCATGAGTGATGATTTGATGATCTCTTTTATCATTGTGCTTTTATTATTTTGTTTCTTGTCAATTTTTACATTAGAATTCTTGAAGCTCAACGTTCTAAATGTTATTTATATTGGCCAGATGTAGAAAATCAAAAACTTTATTTTAGTTCTGGTTGTACAGGTTGTCTTTCTGCTCCTAAATGTGCTGACAATAATAATAATCATAATAATAATAGTATTACTCCAGACTTTTTAATTGAAAATGTCAACTCTGAAAGTAATGGGAATTTCGCTAAAACAACACTACGAATAACAAATTTACAGGTTAGTTAGTGAATTAGTTTTACTTTTTTTCATTTTAAATGACATGAAACTGTGTTTATAGTTTTTTTTACTTACTTACTTACACCTTATTACCCTAATGGAGAATCGGTCGTCGACCAGAATTTTTCTGGTTAGCGCTTTTTTAGCGAGTTGGTTTTCAATGGGATAGAGTCGCTAACTCCGTACACAACCGTCCTCTTTTTTATCCGGGCTTGGGACCAGCAGAAACGCTGTAAGGGCTCCAGGAGGAGTTGTTTAGAGTTGAATCGTAGGATTTTAAGATAAGATGATAAATCGATTGGGCAAGTTCTAAGTTTTTCAGACTAAAGTGGTTGGGATATATTTTACTTATGCCTAATCACCATATGCCAAAGTAGGTGGTGTTTGTTTGTTTGTGTTAAGTTGAAAGAAAGTTAAAGCCACTCAAACCGAAATGTGACGTCACTGCATAGCTTCATTAACTGTTCATTTGAGCTATGTTGGTAGATGCGGATTGTTGGGTTGAGTTCTATGAGTTAACCAGATTCATTAACTGGCATATTGCATATGCATTTACTCTTTATCCGTCTTTAGATCGTGAGTACCGTTATTACTTGATGTTTGCATGTAATTTCGAAGCATATTTTTTATGTCCAGTCTTTCTTACTGTCGATGCTACTACGACAATTATTTCGATTTTTCGCTATTTATTGTACAATTTCGGCCAATGCATATATATGCTCTACCTGACTAACCGACTGTTTAATTTGTTATAGTGTGCGGGTCTGGAGCTCTAAACCCTCCCTACCTCGAGACTGGCTACTCGATTGAGAAGGCTACCGAATCATAAACACGTTACTTGTCTATACATACATTTTTCTTCAGGACATTTTCTGACGGTCATCGAATGGTTTCCTGATTTGATCATTTCTGATTGGTTCACTATATCAGACTTGTACTTTTTGTTTAACATTACGCTCTCAGTGTAGCAGGAACATACTGGTCTGTTCCCTCAGCTTTTTTAGTCATTAGGTTTCAGACGGAAACCTGATTCGTCCTATTGTAGGTATACAGGTGGATATCTTCATTGTCTCCTTCACTGTACATCGACCATGTCAATATTTGATCGTTACGTAAACCAGCCATTTCTCTTAGGCATTCACGCGCACGAACGAAGGTCCTGAGTTCCAATCCTGTGAGTTACTGGAGTCGTGGATGCACAGTGTTGATGAGTTCCATAACAGGACGAAACGGCCCTCCAGTGCTCCTAGGTTTTTAATGGTGGTTTAACAATGATTGATTGATGATTTCAAGGTTTTAATAATATTAGTCTCATCCCCAAACATGGTTGATCTCCACTTATCATGGCTTCTCACTAATACCTTTAGGAACAACCTCTCACTGTTGAGCAAATTATTATTTTTGCTGTTAAGTTTGTGGAGATTTTTGAATTTTATAATTTACATCATCAAATCACTTTACACAACTATCAAAATTCTTCCAACCTTTGATTATTATCTTGTCTATCTTAGCTGTTCATAGTTTGAAATATTAAATCAAACTACATGACATCATAATTCAGATCTTTCGAAAATCTTATCATATTTCATAGGATACTATGTGAATTAACTCATCCGATATTGTTGTACAATGCCTTATAAGTTGGTAGGTATAAAGTTACTTATCTAATCGATTAATCTAAGCTTCATATTATATAATCATGTGTATTTGTAATATGTTAGAGAGTTTCTTTTCTGACTCGTATATGTCATCTTTCTGTATATATATGAAAAAGATGAGAATTCTCTTTGACCCGCATAATAAGTACTCTGAATGATGATAGATCACTGAAGAATCCTCATTTCCAATCAATAGACTTGAACAGAGTTGTGTGTTTCATTGATTACAAACCAGCATAATATTGCTTAAGTTAGTTATAGTTGTGTGTGTGTGTGTGTATTTTTATTTGAGCAACTTCACATCAAATTTTTTTAAGTTCAAACGGAAAAATATTGAGCATTTTTAAAAGTGTCATATGAGCATGTAGTTAGGCGAGGAATTGTGTATATGTGCACAAATTAACTGAGAATAGTTGTGAAGTAAATACCGGATTGTTTCAAAGTTTTAATTGTTTGCAATTTTTGTGGTTATTGTTCGATTTGTAGCGTACGTCATAGATTGACTCTAACTACCAATTATTTAAGACTAGAGAGCACTGAATATATATATGTAGTCTTATAATGTGGGACTGTTTTTTTTCTGGGTTAGAGCCTTGGCAGAGTTCAATACAACCTTGAACTTAAGCTGCACTCCTATTGGTGTGTAAACTCTCACGTCTGTTTCTATCCTCAATCTTTAACCCGAAAGCAAAAACGACAGCTAGGTTTCTCTTATCATATTTCAATTATCCAACAATAATCTCTCAAGCATTCATGAAGTTATACACACAAATTTTCAAACCTCAGCACACCAAATAAGAAATGGGGCTCTGAGCACATGAGCACGCCATGAGTAACAATGCAGTACATAATTAAGTAAAAATAATTAAAGAATAGTTAAACGCCATAACATAATCTATTAGGTCCAGTGAAAAACGTACAATACGATTATAAAAATGCAATAATACAGTTATCTATTAATTTGAGAAGACATTGAGTAGGACTTCCCTTGAAAGTGGCTATGTACACGTGGCTTTGGAGAGAAAGATAGGACTCTCTCATTCTCCTTACTCCATAATCCAGGACATTTGGTGGCTCTTTGGATATCAGACAACTATCACTGATCTCAGTGTATGATATTTGTACACTATTGCAAATTAGCTGAGTTCGGAGGTTTAAACCACTGTGGTTCAACTCTATTTTAATTGTTCCGTCTTTGATCCAGCTTGGGGACAACTGAGTAAGCAATGCTGTCGTTAGGAAACGAGTACTAGGTAAGGATGGCAGATCAATCTATGAAGTGGTGAAACCTCATAAGTTGAGGTGTTTGGGACATGTGTTGCGTATGCTTAATCACCGACTGCCTCGAAGAGCTTTGTTCTGTAGTGTAGGAGTAGGTTGGAAGAAAGTTAGGGGCGACCAGACCAAAACATGGCAGAAATCCATGAAGTCATTGACGAGTGGACTTAGCCATGTCGATAATTATCGACTACCTGGTTGGGGTCTGCGAGATGATAATAATCGATGGTTAGAGACCTTGAATGACATGGCTGAAAATCGTTTGCAATGGCGCCGGTGCATTTATTCTTTGTGTTCTCTCAAATCCTAATCTTCTGGATTCTTCAACACCTCTAGTTTTGTCTTTCTAAACTTTTCTCACTGGATAATACTTTTTCAATAATATCTAATCCTAACCTCTCCGATTACATCTAATACCTTTACTACTTCTACTATTGGATTTGAATTGACAATTATATCTCTGTGCTGCTGTGGTATGGCAACATGAACTGATGTACTTATGTACGAAGTTCTGCGTTGCATCTGACTGACTGATCCAGCTTACAGTTGTGAGAATGTACTACTAATGATTCTGATTTCTGACGATCGCTTTCGTCAAACGGGGACTCACTGTCATTGCTATTGTGCACTAAATAAATGTTGATTATTTGCGCTATCGATGCTCCTTTTATTTCACTTTCCAGGGAATTTTCTGTATTTTGATGAGTGTCTGTCTGTCTGTTTATGTTCAGGTTCTCACTTTCATTGGCGGTTTGTTTGTGCTTCCAGTGTCTGTGTGTGTGTACGCGTATGTACGCATATATGTTGCAACTTTATTTTCACTTTATATTCTATTCTCCTCTTTTTTTATGTCTTAGTTGTAGATCCATTGCTTTTCTTTCGTCTTTCTCTCAATATACACACATGCATTGCAAAACTGTGTTTTAGAAGTTTACTTTCAATAAACAATTTAAAGTAGTTTCGTACTTTATTCATCATTTTACGCTTTCTATTCTTCAAATCAGTTTTTTTTGTCCTACAATTCTCTAAATGACCATATTGTTTATAAGATTAGTATTAGTTTTCTTTTTTGCATCATATTCAATTTAAACAAAATTAAATTCACTTGACTGTTTATTTGTAAACAGGCTTGTTTGTTTTTTCAATGTATGTATGTATGTTTGTGCGGTTTAGGTAAAAGTGATTTTACTAGGCTGACTGGTTAATTCGGTCTTAATTAGATAAAGTGTAGTGAGCCATGATCAGTTAATGACATAAAATTAAACAAACTCATCACAATCTAAACCTAAGGGTTAGCAGTGCCACCTAGCTGGTGCCCATACTGAAGTGGGGTTCTAATCGGTTACTTGATAGATTGATATACATTGAGTAATTTGTTACTAGTTTCCTTATGGTCTGTGCTATTAGAAGTCAGTCAGTCATTATCTTGAAAGTCTATAATACCACATATATTGTACGGGTTGTTCTAATGTTCTGACAGCAGTAGCTTCCTTATTTTTTTGCCATGGTAGTTTGAAACTGAAAGTATACTGTTAGGGATGCTAGATCGCCGGAACTCACTTGATAAAGGTCCTAACTTTGGATTTTATGTTTAAGCGCATGGGCTTGTCGGTTGACCCTGAGATCGCATTTCCCACCAGGAAAATCCTTAACTGTTATTGATTGATGTATTCTTTTAGTACGCTATTGTTGTGACTCTCCCAAGGATGCTTCTTTGATGCATGAATCAACTCGATTTGTGTGCTTGTGGACCTCATATTCTATGGTTGCTTGTAGAATACACTTCTTTGGCTACTTAGTGTGGCCTTTGGACGCTGGGATTAGAGTAGTCTATCGTGTCACTGGGTCATTTATCTTCGCTCACGTTTACCGACTAAGGTGAACTCGTAATAGTTTCAAGCATAACAATACCGTGTGCGAATTCTCATTTGTTATGCCATATTCAATTTGCATTTCTTATAAATAAATCATCTATGTTTATCATACTAAAAATTCAATTGTCGAGAGTGTTATTTTTTTTATGTAAATAAAAAAACACAAATGAGGAAATGTTTACTGGGTGTCATAAATTAATGAAAATTAAACTTTGAAAATACTACCTGAGTAGTAAATAGTAATGGGTCTTACAAATTACTGTTTTTTTTCCGCTTAATATTTTCATGTTTATCCAACCAGGTAAAGGAATGATTCATGACTGTCTAAGTTCAAGTTTATTTTCTCTCGAAAACTGTATAATAATCTATCAACAATTCTACTTTCTTTTTGGTGTATTTTAAGCTTGTGAAGGTGTTCATTTTTTCTGAGCGGAATGATTTAGGTTGAAATTTAAAATTTATTTGCATCAAGCTGGGCTGCATCTTTTGCTATCCTATGCCATACTCTATGTGTATACTATATGCTATACTGCTATCTGTAGCTGAAGGTTTCCTATGAGACCAGAGGTTCGCTGTGAACATTGTGGATGGCTTGGAATTGCTTTGACAAACATTGCTAACAGTCCATACATAAAATTGGTTAGCAGAGCGACCGATTTCATTGATACTAGTGGTTGTTTTGAATCATTCCCGAGGGTCATTATCATTGGGGGTGTCGTATTGCATATCACCATTACTGCTAGTAATAATGAGTTTGACAGTCATGTAAGCGGGATGGGTCGAATTGGCCTGTTCATGCGGTGCATATTGATTGACGCGATCATGGATCGGAACTAATCACTATGTATATATATATATATATATATATATATATATATACTACTGTATATAAATGGTGTGAATGGCCCACTAGGGTGTCACATACTGGTATGGTTGCACCATGGGATTCAGCCGAACTATTCACGTTGAAATACTAACACGTGGGCAGTTTTCTTGGCTCTCCTGACAACCAAGTAGAAGGTTAATTTATATAAATGAAATGTGAAAACTTTCTTCTTGGCAACGTTTCCACATTTTCATACTATGTTCGAATTATTTTAAGATAATCGAAAATATTTTTAACCCCAAAGTAAAGATATTATAAGTGTTGTGTCCTTTGAATTGCATATTTGAAAATCTTGACCTTAAACTACAAATATTCTGCATCTTCTTGCGGTCATAAAGACACAACACACATCTTGCTGTTTAAAGATGGTAGGATTTTTCCGTGAAACAAGTTCTCAGTAACCTACTGAGCTCAAGAAACACACTCACACTGTGGTGCGCGCTACTTATAAGTAGTATATGACGCGAGTGTCAACGTAATGTCTGGCAGCAGAAGATGAGGGAAGATCACGAAAGGAAGAGTTAGAACACAATGGAATTTGTATGAAACGCTATGAATAGTGAAATGTCAGACAATGGATTGATGATTGATTGAAGATTTGCAAATTAACGAATTTACGATATGGTTTTCCTATTTTACTGAGTAATTCTGTAATTTTCGTTAAATACAATTCGGTTGCCCTCACCTGTGTTCTCCTTCACTACAACACCGATAGCTTCATCATGTCGTTCTGTGTTGTGTAGCTCAAGTTGGTGATCATTCACTTATAAATATCTAAAGAAATCTGTGTTTATACTTCTTCCAATATGTATTATTGTTTCATATAAACGACCTTTTTTGTCGTTTTGTTTTTAGCTACAAGAAGTAAGAACAGTTGAACATTTTGCTTATTTTTCATGGCCTGATCATGGTACACCGCAAACAACTGAAGGTCTATTAGATTTACTCAATTCAGTTCAGTCAACTTATTCACATGAAATTGAAAAATTAGGCTATCAATCTTATGAAGATCAGAAAATTCCACCTCCTCCAGTTGTTGTACATTGTAGTGCAGGCATTGGTCGAACAGGTAAGTAATTTGACTTGTGTGTGTGTGCATATGTACATGTGGAAATTATTTCCTGATGTTATTTATCTGTGTAATAATTCAATGAAAATTCTTGTATGTATTGATTCTGTTATACTGTGTGGTTGTTTGAGTTTGGTTTTAATACACAAGATTCCAATATGCCAGCTTACACTAGCAGCTAGTCAGATTGAAAACAAACTTTATTAACTAAAACGACATGGAAAACATTTTCACAGTCATTCATATAAATATATCCTTCTCCTTTGGAAAACAAAGTCAGCTTTCTTATCTGTGAACTGCACTATTCTGAAGAAAATAAATCTAGTTTCTTGGATTCAGTTACCGGAATCAATGAGGGGGAGGTACTGATATGTTCGTCACTAGGTACGCTTGAAGCTATTACGAGTTCACCTTAGTCGATAAACGCGAACGAGACAATTACTAGCGTCCAGATAGGCTACCTTGAATCCCAAGCTGAAGACAGAAGGCTTTGTAAGCGTAGAAATATATTCTACAAACATCCAGCAATCACAATATAATCAGTCACCCAACTCTCGAAAATAGCACACTAAAATACACAGTAGCCAATTGCAGCCATGGATTTTCCTGTTGGGAAATGAAATCTCCAGGTCAACTGATCAGCCGATGCTCGCAAACGTGAAATCCCAAATAAGGCATTTATCAAGCGAGTTTTGGGGATCTAACATCCCCAACAGGTACATCAATTGCCTTCACTAAGTTTTAGATCATTGATTAAAGCTCTTGACTGTCAACCGTATGGCCTCTCAAATTTGAATAACACTCTACCAATTTGAATTTGAACAAACAAATAGTATTACTAACTGTCATAGTTCGATTGAGGCTTGAAGCTATTTAGATGAATGTGTACCTGATAACTGGGTGTTCAATGCAATCCATGCACGAGTCGTGGTCATCAGACTTTGTCATTCGATCAATGTTATCCGTCTTCCAGAAATACTTTTCGGTCATAGCGGTGCACTTGTTTCATTTCTCTATTATCTAAAAGAACAACCATGAACGTTTTCAGAATTCAGTTTATTTAATAGTCGCATTTGTCGTAGTGAATTTCGCCACAACAATTTTCACAACAAATAATTTTATTTGTAACCATGAATCGACCAATGTTAGACCACCATTAGGAACCTGGAAGCACTGGACGGCCGTTTCGTCCTGGTATGGGACTCATCAGCAGTGCGCATCCACGACTCCTGCACTTCGCGGGATTCGAACCCAGGACCTTCGGTATTGTGCGCGAACACCCTAACCATTAGACCACTGAGCCGATACCTAACGGTGTTAACGTCTAACTTGATCAAATTCACGGAGTTGCGCAACCTCATGCCCTTAGGCAAAAATTTTTTGATCATCGAATAGTACAATAGACCGTACATATTCTATATTCTCATTAGTTGTTGCTGGAGAATCAGAATTCTCTTATCCCCTTGCATATCATACTCATAGTTCTAATGAAAATCTTCACTGATAAGTTTCATCTACTATGATAGAACTTACCTTTTCTTCTGTCTTTATCTGTATGATCCACTGTGTGTCTACATTTTTAACTATCATTTCTTAGTAGTAGTAGTAGTAGTGTGGTGTGCGCTACTTATGTTCACATAAGTAGTATATGATATCAAACGGAAATCAAACGTCTGACAGCAAAAGATTGAGAAGGAAAGAATGAGAACAGAAGGCGATTTATAGGATAACGTTAAGTGAACTGAAGTCTGAACAGTCTAAATGAAAAAACACTGAAATCTGAAACAAATAAGGATTAGTTTGCAAATGATGATTTCACGGGAAAGTTTTGTGTGTGTGCTAAACAACTCTGTAATATTCGCTTATATATATATGTTGATGTCCTCACCTGAGTTTTCGTGCACAACAGTAGTAGTAATAATAATAATAATAATAACTAAAGAATCTGTTACTTTGTTTTAATATACAAATTTTTGTCAGGATTTCTGTATTTTTTTTAAATTGTGACTTCACATCCTGTAAGCAGAAAGTTTTCAATAAAATTTAAGTAGATCACAAAAAAGTTTAAGCAGTATTTCCTTTAGTAGGTTTCTTCATTTCTTATTCAAAAATATTAGTACCTCTCATCTTTGTGTGCAGAGAAAAATGAAATAACAAAAAACTTGAACTTGGATTTCATTCAGGACAGTCGAACATCTCAAAGTTTTACTAGTTAGATGGAATAAAGTAGCACTGGTTATTTTAAAAGTAGTAAGTAAATAAATAATTATATTTCAAGCTTGCGAGCAAACATGTCCTGGATCTTATCGATTAATGATAAGCTTATCAACCGAGCTACATAAAGCTGTGTATCATTTTTGATGGTTAAACTCTATGTGAAGCATTCTTACCACTTTCTTAATCCTATTTTTAGTTAAAAAAAAAAATTAATTCATACTTATCACATAGGTATTTTATTATATTGATTGAAATATTCTTAAAAGTTTGGTTTTGTATGAAAATAGTGGTTTTTTTTATTCAAGTCA